GGAAACTTAATCATTCCCAATTTGATGTAAACTCCTTAAGAAGTTGGGATGTTGGGCAGAAAGAGGGTAAGCAATCTGACTGGACCAGCCGATAGTTGGGCAGAAAACACTCCAAGGCAAGAGGGAAAGTTATTCAGACTTGGTGCAAGCCTTAGGACTGTGGCTTGGAGCAGCAGACGCAGTCCAGGACTCTGTTCAGGGGTCTCACAGGAAGGGAAGAAGAGCGCTCTGAACACCTCTGAAGGATCTTTGACATCAGGAATGCTGTCTCTATTGTCTTATCGGCACCAACTGAAGATCTTCCTTTTTATTTTATTTTTTGGTAACTTTTATTGGGTTTTATGAACAAGGATTGTAGGAATAATGCAGGATACAAATAAATAGACCATGTCTACTCATGTCATTTGTATATCACAAAAACAGCACAATAAATTTGCAGTAATATATACAGCATACGGTTCATTATTAATGGTCCATGTATAAGTTCTTGGTATGTGAGTTGATTTAAACGAAAACAAAGGGGAAACAGGATAGAACAGGGTTAACAGATAACATTCAACATCGCATAGCTAAAAGTTCAATCCGGAACCCTTGTGGTTGTGCTTAGATTAAGTAATAAGTCGTCTTTCCTCTTATGTTACCAATGAAACAATATCAAGTGTTGCCATATTGATGAATGTGGGAGGCGGTTCAAAGTGAAGATAATAATTTAGGTTTAGATTTAGATCAGTCAGATTGAGACAAATGCTGATGGAAGGGATTGTTCATTTTCTGGAATACTGTTATGAAATTAAACCACACTGGGGGAAAGCCATCTATCCACATGCCAACCAGAGTTTATTTCTTTATCTCCAAAAGGAGGACTATTTCCCAAACTGTTTTGTACCAATTGTCTATCGTTGTGCCAGAAAGATCCTTCCAGTGTCTGGTTATGCTGTGTCTCGCTGCTTGTGATAAAGAGTTTATTAATTCTTTATTGTGTAAATCCAGATTGTTGTCTTGAAATATTTGATAAAGCTAATTCATGTTCGACTTCCAACTATTTCTGTCGATGTTTTCACAGTGCAATTGCTTCAAGATATTTTATGCGAAGTGATTCATAAACGGAAGAAATTAACAAAAAAGATAATGAATAAAACTTGTGGGATTAACATGAAATGCACTCCCCCCCTCCCCCCTCGGTGGTGTTGGGGTGGAAAATATTCCCTAGGTGTCTGCCACATTCCAGAAATGAGCTCCTATTGAAGAAACATCACTCTTCCATCCTGAGTCATTGACTCGCAACTCTTCCAACAAAAGATATGGCTGGCACAGCCTGGAGGCATTGCTAACACCACCAAGATGCCAGAAGATATCTTAATATAAAATTAATATAGAACAACAATATAGAGCAGACTTTGGAAGTCGTGAGGACTTCCAAATTAGCCGTTAAAGAAGCACCTGAAATGAAATGGATGCTTGCTACAAAGCTGTTTATGCAAGCAGGTTACATAGGAGAGACTGGAATGGAATATGGTTTTCATGCTGGAATGTGGGCATGGATGTGGAAGTTGCTGACTAGGGAAGTAACATTTTGCAGCTTTGATTTGTTTGAAAAACACTAGGCAATTTGAGGGGAACTGCTGTGTCTGTTGGCACTGCAATAAAACTTGCCACCTAAAGACGACTGAAGTCAAAGGAGGAATTTGCAAGTGCCATTTTTTAAAAAAAAATAAAAATCAATTCTTCCTTTTCAGGAAATAGATTGTATGGTAAATCTTATGGGAATGCAAATCAGTCCCACAGCACACAGCATGATGCATGGATCTGGGGAATTGAAGATCAGAAGCAGCTAAAGTGATATAGATGGTATAACATGTATAATAATATTTTACATGGAATCTAATACCATATTTTTCCTCGTATATGATGATATCTTTTCCTTAGAAATAACAGGTAAAAATTGTAGGTCGTCTTATACACAGATAGTGAGGTGGGACGGGTGATTTGTGGCAGCAACCAGCAGGAGATTGGCAGCGGCGATTGGGCGTGTGATTGGTTGCTGCGCCAAGGCCTGCTGACGACTGGCTGCTGCTGCAGCAATTGGGTGGGCTATTTATGGCAGCGGCGAGGCATGTGTGCAATCGGCTGTGGTTGTGTCGAGTGTGCAGGTGGGCTTTTGGTGGTGAGCGTGCAGACGATTGGTGGCCGCAGAAATGTGTGCAATTTGCATTGGCGGGCAGGCTGGAGAGTGATTAGCGGCGATGCCCCCCCCCAAAGAAGCTCAACAACTCTGGGCAATCTCCCCCCCCCGCCCATTTTTTTGTTGCGGTCCAAAAAAATAGGGGTCGTCTTATACATGGGGGCGTGTTATACACAGAAAAATACAGTACTTCCATCATTAAGAGTCAACATGTAGACACGTCTTGAGGGAAAGGTAGACAAAGATGGAGAGTACTGATAGCCTCAGATAAAGACTGGTGAGGAAGCACCAGAGAGAAAATGGGGGAAAGTTAGGCACAAAAATTGGCCCTGTCTGCTGTAACATGATATCTGGGAAGCGGATATTGTGAATTGTTTCATAATAGAACTGGGTTTTGTTCTCAGTAATGACTGTCATCAAGGCCAACAAGGGAAATCTGCAGGTGGAAACTTTTGAGATACCTTCCAAAGATCTGCTGGGGGGTGGAGGGGGAAGAGGAAGAAAGAGGGGATCTGAAAGGGGAGCATTGTTCTAGCACCCAGAGCTGAAAACATTACTATAAAATGTTTTGGACATTCTCCAACAGCCCACTGGAATACGGTAAAGATGTGTTCAGACATGCAGAAGCAACAGGGAGTTATAGCCCTTCTAACAATACAATCCTAACCATGTCTATACTCAGATGTAAATCCTATTGAATGCAACTGGATTTACTCCTAGGTAGGTGGAGTTAGGATTGCTGCCATGGCTTTGTGCATAGCACTGTCATAGAGTCTCATATCTTTCAAATGAGAGAGCACTGGAAACTCAATCGTCTTTGTAATGTTTTCTTCACTGACAATGTTCAAATACAGCACAGTGGAAGCTAGCAGATTCCTATAAGCAGAAAACAAATCTGCTGTTCTCCCATCAGATTTCTAAAGAGAGTCCCTGTACTACACAGTGGTTCAGTTTCACCAAATGGCAGCTTTTTCTCTCACACACTTCCCAATCTGAACTAACCCATTTGCTCCAGACGTTTTCTGATCATACTCCTTGAACTCTCATGAGATGTCCTGTTTTGAAGAGAAATGGTATAAAAAACAGCTTACCAATTGTTATTAAAAAAGCTTTAAACGTCATATTGTACCTAAATTCTACAAAGGGCTTGATGATCAATAACTGTTTTGAAGATTACACAGCCATCAAGGCATAGTAAGGTTTTTATCATTCCTGACCTCTTCAGGCAAAACTAAACATTTGTTTTGTTGCTGTAAGCCCTTGTGAACCCCCCTGAGTACAATTTATATCCAAGGAGGGAGTATAAGCTCTAGGAAATAAATAAAACTTAATATATGGATCCACCCGCCATAATCAAAGACATCCCCAACTCAAAACAGCATCAAACATTGCAATTTGACGCACAACTTGTTGGTAGAATCCCTTTGAACTCAGTAAGAATGCAAAATGAGATCTCCCACATAGGTAATCCCCACAATTTTACCCAAGGTCCCATCCAAAATGCTTAGGCCTGAAAGGCTACCGAAGATGCAAGTTTGATGCTGGAAAATCTTTGATCAGGTCTCCTGACTTTTTTTTTAAAAAAAGTTGAATTGAGGCTGAAAGACCCCATGTAATTAGGAAAAATGGCATGGAAGGGCATTAACTATTCCTCTGTGTCATATTCCCAATTTTTGGAAATAGTTTCCCTGAATGTGGGGTACAAAAATATAATCAGACTTGTATTTGCAGATGTGGATTGCAAATGGAAACTTCATTCTTTAAAACCTTCCTCTCCTTGGCCACCACCAAGACTAAACCAGGGGTTAATACAAATTTCACAACTAAATCTCTCTCTCGCTATGCAACTTTACAATGAACTAGGCCAGCGCCAGCACTGAAATAGGAAGGACCGGTTCTTTCTACTGAGATAATGGGCCGTATGTCCACTCTAAACCTTCCATTGCATACAGCCCAATCCTATGCACGTTTACTCAGAAATCCCATAAATGGATTCAAAATGGCTGGCTTTTGAGTTAGTGTGCAGCCTTGCAGTGTTTTATTACACAAATGACCATAATGATCGTTATTATTCTAGCTACACAAAGGCAGGCCCAATACATTTTGCTACCTGAGGCAGAACAGCTACCCTCCTCCTCCAAGTCAAGGTGCAAAGGTGCACAATACAACCGGAGGTCTGCCAAGTTCATTTGGGCACCTTAACCTAAAGGAAACAAAATTCCCACAGGTTCCTCTCCTCCTGCCTGGGAGCAAAACTCCAGAAACAATAAGTGAACTAGGCAACAATTTGCTTCCTTTTCTTGCCCTCCCTCCACCCCCAAACCAGTCGCCTCAAGATCTCTCCTCCTCACTCTGCCTAACAGTAGGGCCGGCCCCAAACGCATCCTCGCCAGGCCCCTTTTCGCTCTTGTTTTTATTGCCAGGCTTCCGCACCTCCGGGCTTCCGAGGGAAGCAGCAGACACACAGCCTGCCCTTCTCCCTGCCTGCTGCGGAACAGCTCGGCCTCTCGGACCAAAGCAGGAACACGGAAGCCGCCTAAGCCGTGAGCAGCATCTGCTGCAACCCCTGGCAGGCGCTCCGAAGCCAATGCGCCGGCTGCTGCTGCTGCTGCCCGCCGTTTCCTTGGAGGGAGATGGAGCGCGCGCCCAGCTACCCCTCTCCTCCTCCTCCTCGCCGCCTGCCAGCTGGGCTGGCGGCTGGGAGGGAGCGGGGGAGGGGCCTGGGCGGGTGTGGGGAGGGGAGGGGGGCAGGGCTGCCTGCTGCAGTCACTCTGCTGCCACATGCCCCAGTCCCGGGAGGGAGAGGGGGGGAAAAGGCGCTGCTCCGGCGGAGGGATACAGCGCGCCGTATAAAAACCGCGCCGCGCAGCCTCACACCTACAGCATTTTTGGCGAAGCGAGGAGGCAGCGAGAGCTGAGAGCAGCCGCCCGCCTTCGGCACCTTCGCCCGTGCACAGACAAGCGCCATCACCAGCCGCAATGGTAGGTAGCTTTGGACCTGCGAGGAGAGGCGCTGATTTAGGCAATCGATAACTTTCCGGGTTGCTTTGGAGCTAGCCTGGAGCACGCGCGGGCTGGCTTCGTTTCGCAGTTTTGCAAAAATGGACGAAGAGCATCTGGATCGGCTTGGGCGCGATGGAGGTGGCCGGCTTGCGCTTTTTTCTTTTCTTTCTTCCTTTCCCCCTTTTACTTTCTCGGAAGTTGGTGTTGCGGGGGGATCCTCTTGGCTGCTGCTGGCCGGAGCCTAACCGGAGCCCGGCTTCTTCTCACCCTGCCGCTCCCGTGCATTTGCTAGCTTCGGCGGCTGCGCCGGGGACTCGGTCAGGCCTGCGTCCCGGAGCTCGGCTGGCGAGCTGGTGTGGCTGATCTTCGCCTTGGAGAAGGGTGGGAGGCGGGCGGGCTGCGGCGCAGCTGGATCGCCGACCACCTTTGGGCACAGCTGGCCAGGATCGGTGGTCTCTCTCGCCTGCCTTCCCCCCACCCCATTCCCGGCTGCCTGTGCTGCGGGGTCTGCTCGGATGTCCTAAGCGGGGGTGGCGAGGGAGCCTTGACTGGCGCTTTCGCTCCCGACCCTTGATCCTTCATGCCCAACCCAAATCTTCACCCTCCAACTCAGCCACCCACGCGCCCTCTTCTTCCCAGCTCCGGGGCTCGTTGCAGTTCTCGCTTCCTCTCCGCAGCAAAAGGAAGGGAGGGGAATAAAAACCCGGGGCTGCGGCCGGTTCCTGTCTTTCAGAGAAGCCGCTTGCCCGGAACTGGCGCGCTCTGCATGATGAATTCAAGCCGGGTTCCTCGCAGTTCGCGCCTCCGGAGGCTGGGTGGGGAAGCTGGAGAGGCCACCGATCGCGCGGTTTGGAAAGGCTCGGAGAAGCAGCCGGGGCAGGGACGCTGCTGCCTGCAGAGCGAGACCTGCTCGGCTTCGTTTATTTTCTTTCCGCTTTGCATGCGCTCCGGGGCAGATGGCGGAGAGGGCGGCAGCGTGCGCGGGAGGCGCGCCGTGCTGCCGCTGCCCCCGCCGACACCCCACTCCATGAGTGTTTGCGCCCGCGCCTTGCCCGTGGGCAGAGGGTTCCGAGGATGGAGGCGGTGGCCTGCGCCTTGCCTGGGGCGCGAGTCTTTCTTCCACCCCCCGGCCTCCATCCCCGCACGGGAAAAGGGGTGTTTATGTTTATAGCTTGCTTGTAGTTAGTTGGATGGGTCCCAGAAGAGTCGATGCAAGGTTCCTTCTTTGCAGCTGAGGATGGATCGGGGAGCTGAGCTGAGAAGGGATCGAAGCTGTCACCCGCGTGGAAAATCGCAAGGGGGAGATTGGGGAATACAGATTCCGGCGCGGTCTGACTTCCTGGGGACACAAGACCAGTTACTGCAGACCAGGGACACCAAAACACTTGCCTTAGAAAAAGAAAAAGCGCCCCTCGGTTGGACTCTGCAGCCCCTCCAGCGCGCCCTCTCTCCCGGTTCCTTTTCTGCCTGTGCTAATGAGTGAAATGACGACTTTTTATTTTCCCTCCCAGGGTCTATGCCAAGTGCATTAGGCAAGGGTGTGATCTTCAGTGCATGGCATAGCTGTGGCTGCAGATGGGGGCAAGGCTCCCTACCTTAACACAAATAAAAAAAACCAAAGATTACGGAATATATGAGGCTATTGCAGACAGAGATCACCCCTTTCCCCTTGGTGGGTGGGGAAATTGGAAAAATTTCCTGGCTTGCTAGAAGGAGATGGCAGTTCAGAAGGAAGATGGAAACAATCCCGGTTCCTCCACCAGCTGCACTGCGCAGGGGGGGAACATCTGCAGTTATTGCGCTGTTTCTCCTTCTCCCCCACCCCTTTCCCCAAGCCCCTCAAACGCAGCAGTGCTTAAAAAGCCTTGGTTGATGGCAGCATTACATCATTTCTCCACCTCTTCTTCCTCTCCGGTCTCCACCCTGACCCCAAGAGGCAGCGAGAGTAGCAGGTGAAAAGCTGGGGTGGTTTTAATAGGGACTCTATTAATCAGTTTCCTGTAAGCCTCAAGGAAGACACTGAAATGAAATTGCTACCTCAGGAGGATTCGGATAAGCTTTAGGTGGGCGTGAGAAGGAAGGTGCATGATCTGCGTACAGGAAAGTGTGTTAGAAGCATAATTGGCAAGAAGGGGGTGCCACGAAAAGGATGGGTCACCAGTGGACTCCTGTTAGTGTCAAACAAACAGATTTATTGCTTGTGCAGTAGCTGCTTAAGGGGAAGCCTTTATTCCTCTTTTGCACCACGGAAGTGGACTACTTTCTGTGCCATTTTTTGTTTTGTTTCTCTGTGCAACTTGATTTAACCTCATCCAATGCTGACTTGAGGGTCCCCCCCCCCCAAGAGCATTTATTAGGTTGTGACCTTTTCATTCAGTCTTTGGCCCTCTTTTCCTTTCTTTCCACAGCAAGGCACCAGAGATTTGCTGCAATATTGTGACGTCTTGGGGTGTGTGTGTGTATATGTGCTCTGGGTGGAAATCTCTGCTTTGGTTTCCTGGAGCGGAGAGGATAAGATTTTGCATGGCCAGATATGAATATGGGCCACGCATGGTGGATCTCCTGCTCCCCCTTCATCCTGTTTAGGAAGGGTGACATCACCAGAACCGACAGTTCTCCCCCCCCCTTTCCTCCTTAATTACTTGGATGGGTGGGGTGGCTGCTTCTAGGCAATATTGGCTATCGGGCCAAAGCCACGGCACTCTGTGTTTTGTGCCTGCCAACCAAAAAAGGTTGGCAAACAGGGATGCTGCATAATGTAGCAACTTGCAAGTACAAAACCTAGATTATTATCCTTCACATGTCAGGCAGAGTGTTTCCTACACTCTCGCTTCTGTTGATTTGCATCATTTTTCCTCCCTATTAGGTGTGGCCCTGTTTCCTGTTCTGCATTGCTCTGATATGTTATGTAAATCACTATGTCAACTTGCCTCACTGGAGGGAAATCCAGTGCTGGAGTTCTGGGTGGAGATAGGACAGGGTTTCACTTTTAGGTGCCAGCAACAAATGCTTTGAGTTTTTTGTTTCTTGCTTAAAAAAAAAAAAGAATAGAAAAGCCTCCTTTGGGATGACCTTAATTCAATGGCGAGCCACTGCATTGGCAAATCGGTGGTTGCCAACAAAGGCTTCCAAACCGCAGCTGTGTTTTTGACGTATATCTTCAAAGCCCACCCGCAGCAGCCATTTAGCTGTGTCTGTCTGAACTGTCTTGGTGGGGTTTGAGCCTGGCAGTGTCAAGACACCTATGTGAGGTGAAGGAAGCGGTTTTCAAGACTACAGGAAGGCAAATTTATTTCTTGGGAGCCCAAGTTAAGCTTTTCTTTCCCGCTTTTGCCAGAGTTCAGTATATAATTTGCATGTCCCATTGAAATTGACAGACTTCGTAGTTATTCTAAATGCTGCTTGTGCTCTGTACTCATCAGCACACTGACCTGCTAAAACGCAATCCTGTGTTTGTCGTGATATCTGAGTATGCAGAGTGCGAATGTCAGCCGAAGGCACCCTCAGCTGCCTTAAAATTAAGACTTTATCCAAAAACGGAAAACAAGCTTTTAAATTAGTCCTGAATATGTCTGACTGTGGTCAGTTTTTGGAGGGAGCACCTGAAGGATTAAGCATTGCTAGATGGCCCACATCATGCATTGCATCATGCTAAGTCTAGCGGCCTCTTGGCTGTAATGAAACCATGATATGAAATTAATCTGGGTAGGATCTGTTCCTTGATCACTGATGTAGCAGGTTCTTGCTTCCCTGTCTTGGCAAGCTACCATTCTGGCTGGGCACCCTGTGCACACTCCTGCTGTGCTGCCTCAATCCTGTTTGTTCTCCCTTTAGCGGACAGAGCGATGATTTGTTGCCAATCACTTCTGGATATGCCAAACATTAACATAACATTATGCCATCTTGCCTCTGAATTGCAATTGCATCTTGTGGTTTTGACTGACATAGCTACAGGTAAAAACAATGTTCTGAAATACTTTTCTATTCTTTACGTAGGCCGATCAGCTGACCGAAGAACAGATTGCTGGTAAGTATCCTAAATGGAGGGAGATGGTTTCTGTTGGCCTAGCAACCTATTCTGAATACAAAAATATTGCAGAACATTCTTGGTGGCTGCTATCGCTTGGCTGTTTCTCAGGATGGTACATTCCTATCTGAGTAGGTTGATTTTTTGTTTTTTTAAAAAAATGGGCAGGAAAATGTTTCCCACTTTGTACTATGTTTCTTGAACATAATATAACACTTTATTACTGTTGTCATTTAAACATACTGGTTGATCACGCATCCCTTGTCCTCTTCTTGTGCACGATTCAATTATATCTGGATCAAGAAAAATGGTTGCAGCCAATGTTAGTTCTACACAAGAGTAAACCCTTTGATGTGAATAACTTTGGTCCATTGGTGTCAGTGGGTTTACTCTGAGTAGAATTTTCTTGGATACAACCCAAGGAGAGAAATAGATGGATTTGTTTAACTCTTTCTGTAAATGTGCAATAACGAAAATAACAAAATAATCACTTACTTGAAGATAAAATGCCCAGGAGCTGGCAGTTACACTTGCCAGTTGGTAGTCATGAAATAGGTACTAATTTGAAAGTTCAGATACGTAGAAGCTACACAAAGCAAGCACAAAATCACTCAAAGTGCATAAGGATCACTCAGGGGAGTACAGGAGACTGGCTTTCCCCAGATCTAATTTGCCAGTTCCTGAGTCCAATTGGCAACCCACAATATTAAATACAGCACATGATATTGGCTGCATTTGGGCAATCCTCAGACCATGGACTGGAGAACTGCAAATTCCCTTCTCCTCCCACATGGAACTTAATTCCAGGCTTAATCAAACCATAGTTTCTGCTCTGTTTGTGCAGGACTAGGACTAGAGGAAGGCTATTGCACAGTCCTGTGGGCAATTGCACTGCACGGCCTCAGTCAACCTGCCACCCTCCCGACATTTCGGACTACAACTCCCATCAGCCCCAGCCAGCATAGCTGTTGGTTGGCAGAGGCTGAACTAGACCAAGTGTGGGCTGTCTTCTTCTTTTCCTCCCCTCTAATCCATTTTCCATCCCTATGCATTTTATTCTTGTCAGCCCCACAAGCTGATGTAGCATGGTGGCTAGAAGACTGAGCTATGATATGAATTTGGATGTCTTTGGTTCAGTCCTCCCCTCTGCCATGAGTTGACTTGAAACATTGTTGGATGACGACGCTGACGTTGTTAGGCTGAGATTGCTAGAACCTTTATGCATATTCAGGATCTTTTAAACAGTTATATAGGAAACTGTTTAAAATAAAATCAGACAATTAGTCACTTTAGCCTAGTGCTCTGAACAGTAGTGGCTCTCTTTCAGATTCGGGGGTTGGCGTCTTTCTTAGCCCTGCTTTGAGATTCCAAGGATTTAGAGTGGATCTTTTTTGTATGCAGAGCATGTGCTCTGCCAGTGGGCTTTGGCACTTCTCTAAAAGACCTGATGATGAACTGTTACCAAAGAACATAAGCACCTTGCTGGACCAAGTCGAGAGTCCATCCTGTCCGGAACTTTTTGCAAGGACCCCAGCAACAAAAATTGGCCAGTGGTTCACTAGTAGACCACCATATAACATCTGCTCACCCCTGGACTAAAACATGGTAGCTCATGCGGTCGGAACCCAAGCATTGCTGGTTTGATGATGTGTGTTTTGTGAGACACATGCTTATTAACATATGCTTAATAGTTCCTCCAGCTTGGTACAATTTGCTCCAAGTAATGTAGTATAGTGGCTGAACTCCGAAGCCTGCTATGAGTCTACTTGGGTACACCTCTCCAGCCCTGCTGCCCAATCCCCTGCCCTGCAGCGTACAGAGATTAGAAACCCATTTTGCTGGGTTGTTCTAAGGACTGTGTTATACTGAGTACTATGAAAATATTCTTAAAATGTTAAGTATTGTTGTTTAATATCAGTGGTGCAAAGGCCTTTACATAATCATGTCTACCATATCTTGAGTGCAACAGCTGGTCTTAATCAAAGGCAACGTTAGTTTTTTAAAAAAGAAAGAAAGATGGTTTTTGTTTTGTTTGAAGACTTAAGAGCTCAGTGTTAATTGACAGCTTGTCTCACCATAAAGACAATTCCTGTTCATCAGTTACAGAAAACTGGACTTACTGACTTGAACATTTTGAACCATAGTGAATGGTTTGGGATGTGACAGACTTTTTGGGTTCAAATCTCCATTTGGCCATGATTACTTATAAGGTTCTCCGCTGTCTTTCAACCTGACAGGCTTTGGGTTTGAGGTGGGTGTTGTGAAATTACATTTAACGCACACTCTCTGTGCTGCATTGTATGCTGAAGAATTATGCTGGCTGGTTAAAGAAATAAATTGTGGTTAATGTGCTGCAGTTCATAACAATGGGGAGCTTGTATTATTTGAACAACTGACATGAACTAGGGGAGGAAAAAAAGATGTTAACCCGAGAGACATTGACTCTGAACAGAGGTTGCTAATGGTTACAGAAGGAGTTTGGCATAACCGTGCCCTGGTTACCACATAACACTATCGCTTGTAGTCAGTTTGAATGTGTGAGCCTAGCCAAGCAGACTAACCATGATCTGCTTTCTGCCAACAAATGACAGTGGTTTGTTGTTGGCTTACAAACTATGGCTTGTTTTTAAGTTTTGGTTTGGACCCAGCAGCTTTGTTTCACCCTGTTTTTTGGCTGCCCCACCTCAGATCCTTACCAACCTACAAAGGGATGAGACATGAGCTGCTGAGAAACAAAACAAACCTTAGAGAAACAAGACAAGGTTTGTTTGGTCATCTATGAAACCACTTCAGTTGAATAAACTTTGATTAAAACAAAACATTGGTTAGTGTTATGTGCAAACACTGCCATTGGAGATTTACTCTTCTGCCTAGTAATCTGTAATGCCATAACAGTTTTTTTCACACCAGTATCCCACCTTCCCCAAGTTACTCAGAACATGGGAGTTAGTTGCACAGCACCCATATAACATAGGTCGGGCAGAGAGAGGGAGTTTGGTCCAAGTAAGCTTCATGGCTGAGTGGGGTTTTTGAAACACCAGCCTGGTGCCCTCCTTTTTTTGGACTACCATTATCATTGGCCATGCTGTCTGATTGGAATTGTATTGCAAAACATCTGGAGGCTGCCATGTTGGGACAGACTACATCCCATGTTGGCTCTCACTTATTCCCAACAACAAACAGCATTCCTATGACAAGCAAATTGATACTTCCAAGCAAGGTATTAAAACAGTTTTATGCAGTGTTGGTGTCCAGTAATGTAGGTCTGTATATTCTTAAACCAGATTTGCATATGTAAATTATCAACAAGGTTGAACGTGGTCTTAATTTGTCTGTGGGGATCATTGCTTGAACTAAGCAGTTTACAGCTGATAATGCCCTTGTGTCAGTCACGGTGCTAAATTGCGACGGGTCTTTTTTCTGTCCTCCAGAGTTCAAGGAAGCCTTCTCTCTATTTGACAAAGATGGTGATGGCACCATCACAACAAAAGAACTTGGGACAGTCATGAGGTCGCTGGGTCAAAACCCAACAGAAGCAGAGCTACAGGACATGATCAATGAGGTAGATGCTGATGGTAAGCATTTTGAAGAGGTGAACTTCTTACCATTGCTGCATGAACATAGAAGCCTCAATTTTGGAAATGCTTAGTTGTAGAAATCCTATGAAACACTGGCTTTCTTGTTCAGAATGCTTTTAAGCTCCTGATAAGTACAGCCATGACTTAATAAATGGTAATTCGTACATAAATCATGGTGGCATTTTAGGTGAACAGGTATATGGATATATATATGTCTACTGGGAATTTCTCTCTTTTTAGGTTGGCTCACAGTAAAATATAGTGGTACCATTACTTTTCTTGATACTGTCCAGATCAGGTGACATATTAGTACTCCTCTATTCTTCTTTGATCAGACCTCATCCAGAATTCTGCGTCTAATTCTTGGTCCTGCAGTTTAAGAAGGATATATATTAAATATAATTTACCTGGAGGAGAGTGACAAAGTTGGTGAGTTTTCTGGAGAGGAAGTTCTGGTTGGCTACTGTTGAGAATAGGATGCTGAACTAAATGGGCCATTGACCTGATCCATTAGGATCACAAGTTCTGTGAGGAAAGGTGGAATGAGTTGAATTTGTTTGGTCCAAAGCAGGGGGTGGTGGTTAACCTGTGATTCTCCATATGTTGCTTGACTCCAGTTGCCAGGGATGATCGGAGTTGCAGTCCAGTCAAAATTGGGAGGGCCAAAGGTCTAGAGCAGGCACGTCCAAAGTCCATCTTGGGGGCCTAATTTGGCCCCCTGGCCGGTTTTCTCTGGGGTAAAATTGTAAAAAAAGCTCAACAACTTTGGCCCTCACACATGTTCACTTAATCAAATCTGACCCTCTTTGAAAAAAGTTTGGGCACCCCTCCTCTAGAGTAAAGGAAGAAATGAATGATGAAACAAATTTGTTTCCTGGTGCTCCAGAGGGTTGGAACTGAACCTGTGGATTCAGATGGCGAGAAAGAGGATTTCAGTTAAACATTAGGAATAACTTCCCAATGTTATTATTTAATTTCTGTACCACTTAGTATATTAAGAATATCTTTTAAGTGGTGTACAAAAAAACTGAAGCAATAACAGAAAATTTAAAACAAAATATTACAAAAATATGCAGTTTCATATAAAATGTTACATTAATATAAAGTTACTAATATTTATAAATCAACTCATTCTCCTTCTGACATACCTTCCCTCTCAGCCTTCGAGTTCTCACCCAAGGCCCAAACAAACTCTCAGCTCACCCACAAAAGTCTCACAATGAGAAGAAGGGTTCCTGGAAACAGCAGACATCACCCTGGTCTCTTACTCTAGATTTGCATTTTATGGGCAGGCCCAAGGTGGATGGTACTTCCTCAGGCTGCCCGCAGCTATGTCCCATTCAGCTGCACCCTTCACACTCAGTTCAGGTACATCAGGTCCAAATAATGGGAAAAGAGCCCCCTTCCTCTCACAGCTCTTTCTTCAGCCTGTGTTCTCTTCCTCCAACGGTATGAGTTGATTGACAGTGGGGCAGGCTCTCCTTTGCTAATAGTTTTTTAAGCAGAGTCTGGATGACTACCTATGAGGAATGCTGTAGACTATAGACTACCTTTGATGTCCCTTCCAATGCTTTCTGGCACCTACCCTATGATCCTCTAGTCTCAGCCTCCTAAAAAGAAACACCTGGAAGGAGGGGAACCAAAAATATATATGAGAAATTCCTCCTGAACAAGTTCATGTTGAAACCACATGGGTGTTGTGCAAGAACTTAGTGACTAAGATCCCAGGCGGTATCACAGAGGCTAATTGGAGGTGATCCCAGATGCCTTATTATGTGCTAATGTTTCGTATATTCTTAATCATGGGTCCCCAACCTTCCTGGGCCAGGGGCTCGCCTGGAAAATCTAAGACTCTTAATGCGCACCACAAATACCCATTTCACAGGAGAAAAACTGGCTGCATTCAGAACCTCATTGCAATACAGTTATACCCCTCCTCCAAACAAATAAAACAGCAGCAAAAAGCAGGCAGTTCCTCCCCTGCTACTTCCAACTCATAAAACAAAAATGCTGGAGGGGTATCACAGAATTCTAGAACTGGAAGGGACCACGAGGATCATCTAGTCCAACCCTCAGCAATGCAGGAATATTTCACTCAACATGGGGCTCAAACCCATGATCCTGAGATTGAGTCTCCAAACCCATGACCCTGAGATGAGTCTCATGCTCTTAACAACTAAGCTATCCCTCAGGATATCCCTTGTGGGTAGCAGTGGGGGTGTCGGAGGGTGACATGATGCCCAAGAGTATATGTTAGCAACTCCAGTTCCAAGTATTATATCTGTTGTGTATATGTATATTGTGAATATATATAGAGAGATATATAAACATTCTGCTGGTGTTACACATACCGTATTTTAAAGTTTATTTTTAAAGAGGTTTTACGTCTTGCTATCGACACCATAAACAGATTACCCATCGCTAACATTTGACTAACACATCCTATCCCCAGTGGGATTCAACAACAACCATTATTTAAGAAATGGTTCAGTTGGCATCAATTCTACTAAAAAGAGTAGAGCTTAATTTGAGGGAATTTCTTGGGATTTTGTGGGCCTGTTCAGCAAATTGCTGCTGAAAGCATGGAGCGTGTTAAGTCAGGTGCTAAGCGAAATGGTCATAGTATTGCCCCTTTTTAATAATAATAATAATAATAATAATAATAATTATTATTATAATTAATAATTTATTATTTATACCCCACCCATCTGGCTGGGCTTCCCCAGCCACTCTGGGCGGCTTCCAAAAAATATTAATATTTTTAATATTAAAATATTTAATAAATATAAATATTTAATATTAAAATATTTTTAAGGGCAACCAAAGAACATATACCTATTTCTGGGGGTTGGCAATAGAATTGTTGCCCGCTTCTGTGTTCTGTTGAACATCATAAGTGCCTCCTTGGTGAAGCCATTGACCCATCTAGTCCTGCTTTCTGTTCTCACTGTTGCCAACCAGATACCTGTGGGAAACCTGGAAGCAGGACCTCAGTGCAAGATTTTAATAGTAGAGATGGAAGCTATCGCTTCTGGCTCTAAAACCTATTGGAGCGTATGAAGTTGCAGGAGTGCCCCTAATGGGCAGGAGGTGACAACGCTAGAGAGTTTATTTGTTGGCATTGTATTCTCCAAACAATAGCTCAATTCAAAATGCATTGTAACACCTCTTGAACAATCTTAAAGAGTCCTTCGGAGTCCAGCTTCTTACATGTCTAGATCAATACCTGGTCTTTCAACGGACACTGTAAGCTGTAAAGCCCTCACAGCACTTCTAAGTAGTGTCTGTATATTAAATACACCAGCTACCAACTTGACTTGCGGTAGTGATTCAATGAGAAGAATTAAAAGTAGCTCCAAGTTTGCTGGAGTTTCAGGTTGTAATGGCAGTCCAGAGAAGAATCCTCTTGGAAGGTGAACCAACTGCAAAGGAAGTTAAATCAAGTTAGGCTGGTCTCATTCACATATATTAACAGAACAACCATGCTTTTAGGACAGGGATGTGGAGCCTCAGGACCAGGGGCTGAGTGCAGTTCTCTAGACCTTTTTGTCCATCAGGTCTATCCCTAGTCACCCCCTTCTCTCCAGGTCACACCCTCCTTCCTTTGCACCCTCCTTGAGTGCTTTTGCCTAGTTAGAATGGGTCCTTGGACTCTGATAATTCTGCTTGCTTTCCCGGATGAAAGATACAGAGGGCTGTGTGTGTGTGTGACAACAGGCCATTGGTACAGAAGTAAAATGAATATCCATTTTTCTGCCCACTTTTGCTCCTGGCCTTACCCACCTCTGGTCCATGGCTCACTGGAAGTCTATGTAATAAGGAATGTTGTGTTCAGGCTGAAAAAATGTTCCCCACCCCTGTTCCTGGTAAACAAGTTGAGATTTGTTAACTTTGAAAGCAAACTCTGTTGTCATAAAAGGAAAAGGAGTGTGTTTGCCATTTTTTAATAAAGTTTTTTAAAAATAAGTTTTGCTATAATTTATTCTCTTCTCACCACCACCCCATTTTTATTTTAAAGGCAATGGCACTATTGACTTCCCCGAGTTCTTGACCATGATGGCCCGAAAAATGAAGGACACAGACAGCGAGGAAGAAATTCGTGAGGCATTCAGAGTCTTTGACAAGGTATATTTTGGAGGCATTAACTGGGTGTTTGGGATGTCTGAGTTGTTGGCTTGGTTACAGCAAAAATAAGGAGTTTTCTCAGTTGCTGAATGCACTTGAAAAATACACACACACACACACACACACACACACACACACAGAGAGAGACCCTCATAAGGTTCAGTATACATCAATGGCTTTTTATGTAGAAGGCCATAATCAAATTTCTACTGGGCCACTTACTTGGTGTAATTTACCAAGCCAGCTTTTTTTGGGAACGATAAAATGACTGTGTACCAAACTCATTACAGACAAGGGAAACTGCAAGGGCAAAATGCATCCTGGAGAGCTTGAAGGAGGACATCTTCACACAACCATTTTGAGATGGGCATCTACAAAAATATAGAACGTGACAAATGTCAGACAACCAGGGTTGGCTGATGTTTCATGAGTACATGCTCTGTGGCAAATTGTTCAGTTTGTTGCTCTGTAATGTGTGAAATGACTCTTCCCCTTAGACTCAGCTGAATTCTAAGTAAGGGAGGAGGAAAGCTTGTTGTGTCAATATTTATCCCATTGAATGAGGTTACTTTGAGAGGGGGTAATTTCCCCATGGATGCCCCGTGGAGGGTTGTGGCTATGTAAACAACTGAGGCCTGGTCTCCCTGGCCTAAATTTGAACATCTGGTCCCCACTGCATGTAGTGCCTCTCCTGGAGCAAATTCCCCTGTATCGATGTGTTAAAGGCTCCTCCCAAACCATGATCTCACGTCTGAAATAGGCCAATGACTTAACAATGCAAATTTGCCCTGATTTTTTAGTAATTAAAAAAAAACCCCAACACTCTGGACTTCTTTGTATTGTTGGTATACCAGATATCATCAATTGCAGGGTTCTGGCTTAAATAAAATGTCCTGCTAAATAGAGGGCAAAAATCTGAGGAACTACATGATTAGTGCCATATATACCCAGCAGGACTTCTGGATCATGTTTTTTTTAAATAGCAGTTTACCATGCTGCATGAATCCTGTTTTAAAAACAAGTTCAGGGGATTTCAAAAGTGGTTAGTGATGCCATTGGCTTGTGGCTGACATTCAAAAAGAAAAACATTAAGTCTTTGTGAACATCCTGAAGCTGATTGTGTGAGCCAAATTGGGATGTGACCCCAATACTTTCAGGGTTATTTGCTTCCATGATCTTATTCTGTCACACTCTTGATTTGTTCCCTGTGAGTGGGAGTTGTGGGGAATATTTCACTGCTCCCAGCTTTTACTAGTTATCGGACTTGCCTGTAGATTGGAGTGGGGAGTGGGAACCTCCCACCAAATGAAGCAAAACAATAATCCCAGCAGCTTCCCTTGCATCAAAGAGTTTTGTTAAATGATTATTCAAGGGCTTTCTTGACATTTCTTAAGTGGTTCCATACTAGAGATAGCTCCATAAGGCAGGCATAGAGGTTGTGGACAGAATCATTGATGTTAAATCTTGTTTCCCAAAGAACTGTTCCATCAAGGTAACAAAAATAAGCGGCTTGAGGACTGCAGCCTGTTGAGTCAGACTTCAGTTGCTTAGTTCCTTGGATGAAAAGTGGGATAGGAATGTAGTAGGAGGAGGAGTAATAATTAATCATAATCACTATCTACCTCTTCTCAGGCTATCATTTTAGAAGGTAGAATTGCATTGCTCTCTAGATAGTTGTGCAGCCTTAAGTGGGCAAACCTTACTTACGAATAAGGGCATTCAAAGTGGAACTTGCATGCACAACACATGCACAAGCCATCAAATTCTTGCCCTAAAGCATAGGCAGGTCAGGCTGTGTGTCCATCCCACCTACGATATAGGTTCTGGGCTGGCTTGAGAAGTTCAGAGTGGGTGACAACCTCTACTGGGTTTTTAAAAAAATCTTTACTGTAATCTCAATCCCTTGTCACTTGTCTTTCCAGGATGGCAATGGTTACATCAGTGCGGCAGAACTACGTCATGTTATGACAAACTTAGGAGAGAAGCTAACGGATGAAGAAGTAGACGAAATGATCAGAGAAGCAGATATTGATGGAGATGGACAAGTCAACTATGAAGGTGAGGTGTGGTTTCCTCTGTAGCTATTTATTAGCATTGTGCAGGCATAAGGAACACAGGGCCTTCCAGATGTTGTGGGATGTCAACTCTTGTCTACCTTAGCCAGCATGGCAAGTTGGAGGTGAGGGAAGTTGTGGACAAGCAATAGCTGGAGGACCAGTGATTACCCATCGATGCCCTAGAACAGTGTTTCTCAAACCTGGGTCTCCAGATCATTTTCGACTACAATTCCCATCATCCCTGACCACTGGTCCCGCTAGCTAAGGATGATGGGAGTTGTAGTCCAGCAACAGCTAGAGACCCAGATTTGGGAAACCCTGCCCTACTAGAAGCTGTAGGTTGCTACTTTCCTTGCTTGTCCCATAATTTCAGTGTTTGCCAAAAGCTATTTATAGTACTTGTTTTCAAAATGCATTTAAAAGTAGTGGGATTTCTTTTGTCTCTTTCAGAATTCGTACAGATGATGACTGCAAAATGAAGAGACTTCCTTTCACCTTTTTTTTCCTCTAGAAGAATCAAATTGAATCTTTTACTTACCTCTTGCAAAAAAAATAATAATGTTCATTTATTCATTCTGTTTCTGTATAGCAAAACTGAATGTCAAAATACCTTCTGTCCACAAACTGCATGTAATGGTTGGTGGTCCTGTTCCCAAAAAAGACCGAGTTAAACTTATCAGTTTTTTTCCAATATAAATAATTGTACTACCTTTTAAAAATAAGAAAGCACTTAGTGAACTCCTCAAAGTTCCATTTGCTAATGACTATTACACTGTTTGGGCTGGCCAGTTTTTCATGCATGCAGCTTGACAATTGAGCACAGTCAGACGTTTGTATTAAAACAGTTTTAAAAAAAAGAGGAAAAAAAACACCAAATCTAAAAAAAAATAAAAATCATCCACTCTTTTGTCCAAAAGTGGATTCTAGCTCAATTTGTAGTTATAAAATTGTCATAGCTGGTTTATTTTCAAATTGGTCTATACCTCAGGATGGTATGCAGCAAAAATAGTTGAAGGATGCAAAATGTTTAGAAGGAATCCCCCCCCCCCCCAAAGGTGGAAAAGATTATCCTGTATGTAGAAGCAGTGTCCCTCCCCATCCCCCACCCCCAAATGCAGCGGAGGTTATGGGTGGCATGTCTGTGTTAACATTGGTTTTAATATTGTCTGCATTGCACTATTGTGAAACGGGTGTTGGGCTGTTACCGTTCACAAAACTTTTATTTTTTATTTTAAAAAAAGAGAACCTCCATCAAGGGGCGGGAGCATTTTTTTGGACACACAACTCTCTTTCTTTCTCTCTCTCTCTCTCTCTCTCTCTCTCTCTTTCTTTCTTTCTTTCTTTCTCTCTTTTGCATTTTTAAAAAACCTTCCGTAATGAGACTTGGAGCTGGCGGGGTAGCCTGTGGACTTCAGCACAACTATCAACATCGCTGTTCAAGATATTACAGTTATGTCCATTCCAAGTTGTAAATGCTAGTCTTTTTTTCCAATAAAAGACCATTAACTTAAAGGTGGTGTTACATGCTTCGTAAAAGCCGAAACTATATATCTATATACGTACATATATATATATATATATAAATACATAAATATATATATACAATTTGAGAGACGAAACCAAAAAATTTAAATAAAGAAGGCAGTAGGAAGGGGAAATAAATGTGTTCTGTGAATGACTTGCTGCTAAATTATAATGCACATGTATGCAATAACTTAACCCGTTTAACGTTTCTTCAAGATGGCAAGAACTGACCTCTTGTAACCCAAGACCTTTGCTATAAATAAATGAACTTGTGCTTGCCTTTCATATTTATGACAATCTTAATTCAGTGGCTCACAAAACTGGCTTGATTCTAACTCAGCGTTCTGTAGTCTGCAGGGAAATGGCACTGTTTTTTCTCCTGTCGTCTGTGTTTAGCTGGAATGCTGGGCTTTTTATATATATAGAAAGGGGCACTTTTGAGGGTGTCCCCCCTCCACACACAAAAATAAAAATAAAATGAAAAATTACTAACCACTCATCCTGTTGGGAGATGCATGGAAGCAAGTTATCAAGCATGATTAAGAATTTGGGTGAGGGTGGAAATGGGGAACAGGCAGAACAGCTTTCAACATGGGAGTCCAACAAATGTGCTAGGAGCAATTTTTAAATACAAATTTCCTTACAGGCAGTATTGTTTCAAGAGAGAGATCCAAATTACACACTGAAGGACCTCAAACAAAAAAGCTGAACTCTGGGGCTGCCAGGATTTCTTCCTCATTTTATTTATTACATTTACCCCTCTTCTCCAAGGAGCTAAAAGTGGTGTACGTGGTTCTCCCTTTCCCCATTTTATCTTCACAACAACCCTTTAAGGTAGGTTAGGCTGAGTGAATGATTGGCCTAAGGTCACCCTGCCAACGTCACGCCCAAGTGGGGATTTGAACCCTGGTCTCCCAGACCCCTATTCTGACATTGTAACCACTATGCCACACAGTCTTGTCTTCTACTTCTAATCCTGGGGAGGCAGAAAGAGATGGGAGAACTGAAACCCTGAGCACCGCATGTCCTGTTCAGCTACTAATTTTTAAAGCTTTTTCTGCAGAACTTGAAAGTTGGGTTCAATAGCATTATAGAGCTCGGGCAATACCAGTAGCAAGAAAAAAAATACACACCAGAATATGTTCTCCTGCATTATCTAGGCTAGATGTGTCTGTACTGGGGGAGATAGGGGACGTTGTGAGTAAAGAGTGAAGGACAGGGAAAGTTCTCTAGATGATTCTTCTCACTAGAAGAAACCAGCAACTTGGCATCAAATCCTCAATAGGGAACTATGTTACACAGTCGTCTCTGGTTCCTGTAGCTCTGTAGAATCCTCGTTCCTAAAGACCAGGAATCAAAGAGACATGAAGAACCAGGTGAATGCTTCCTTGTCTCAACAAGACCTCAGGTCTCCCCAGCTGTTGTTGGGACTCTCATGAGCTCTGACCAGTGCTCAGGGATTATGAAAGTTGTGGTCTCAACAATACCTGGAGAGCCACAGGTCCTCCACCGCTGCTTTATAGCAACTCCTAATTGAAGCCACTATTGCTGGCCCAGATAACTGGCTTACTCACAGCTGCTCAGTGGATTTAGTTTTAGGACCTCTTGGTTTCGGGTCTGCAGCAGCATTTAAGGGATCTGCAGCCCATATTGGTGGTTAGACAGACAATACGGTAAATGTGTCGTATTTCCAAATAGGCATGCGCTTTAGGAAGCAGCAGATCATAGCTTACTAGGCTGCATGCCTTTGCTTATTGCGCACAGCCGGCATGCCAAACAAACACTCCCAGGCAGCAAGCTGTGGCGTAGCAAGTTCTGCCAGTTCTCTGCTGCAATATAATAGCGCGCTGTAGCTAAAGCTTCTGCATGGCTGTATATATTTTTTTTGTCCTGCTTCTGTCCTTCAAGGGGATGCTTCTGAAAAGGTTTTAAGACTTTGCCAATGCTGTGGGCAGAATTAAGTGACGGTCTCTCCCTTTGCAGTACACAGAGCATTGAAAGCATTTGGAGCATTCCATTCCAGGAGGAACAGAAAAACAAGATTGGTGTTAGTGAAGATAGCTACAGCCCCTTCTTATAACATGCCTTTGTGGTGGCATCAGTTGCCCCTGCAGGTGAGGTGATGGGTGAAAATGCACTCCTGTGTCTCAGAGCAGCTGCTACTCCAAACAATGACTCCTTTGCAATCATCAAGTACTGTAAATGTTACTGATACATACTGATCACAAATGATAGGGATCTGGCAATCTGGCAATCGCTCGATCATTTTAAGCATCAGACCATGCAGAAATTTATATTAAGCAGAACAAGAACTGCAGCAAGACTTGGTTTTCTATCCTTAAACAACAGGCAACGTGCTCAGTCCTCATTGGGCCATTTGGGAGGGTTTTTGTTTTTGCTTGGGAGTTATTTTCCAGTTTATTTATTTATTTTTAAATCTACAGACTGGGTTCCCCCGAGGCTGCTGATACCTCCCTATTCTGTGTGAGTAGTTCTGTTTTGGCTGCCTAAGCAACAGCACTCACAACCATGAACATCAGAAATGGGAGGAATGGCTCTATGGGAAATATAAAAAGGATTAGCCAAGATGCAAAGCTAGACTGGTTCAGTCTAACAATGCTTATTATATTTATAATCTTCATAGACACCACCTGATTATTATTAAATTTATAATGTAATAGGTCTGAGATGACTGATTCACCCAGGCCTCTTAACAGGAGCAGTCCTGTTTAGCTTCCTCAGCAGAACTGCATTATCCACCATCAGATCATGCTGGAAATCATAGAAACACAGGTGCAAGGGACCTCAAAAGTCATCTAGCCCAACCCCTGCTGATGCAAGAAATTAACTATTCCACAGCATCCCTGATAAGCAGCCATCCAGTAATGAAGGATATTCCATCTACCTTCCAAAGCAGTTTGTTGCATTGTAGAACATGTTTGGTTGAAACCACTTTGTTGGGAAGAAGCTACAAGACTGACTGACCGATAATCATCTGGGATTGCTGCAGGTGCAAACAGGTAAGGCTAGTAAGAGGCTGCAAGCTCCCAGGCGACTTAAAAACCTCAGGGGAAAGGCTGAAGGGAGACCAGAGGCTGCCTCTTGCAATAGGATGGGTGGACTTACCTACTGGTTGTTATGAGCAGGGTGACTGTGATGTTGCATGCTCTGGAAGTAAGCAAAGGCCAACTGCCCTAAACTCTGAAGGACCTGGGGCTTGACCCTGAGTGGAGAGAGCAACAGTTGTTAGTGCCAACCTGTTTTTGTAATTTGCTTTGGTATACTTTTGAGAGGAAAGGAACTAAATAATAATAATAATAATAATAATAATAATAATAAACACTAACTCATGCACAAGTGTTAGTGGAAGATGTCTCATAGCTCAGAAACACAGCCTATACAGGGATTGCGAGGTGGGGAGAGAATTACTTATGAAACATGGTAAATAAGGCAAATACAAAGATTTTTGTCCTGACAGACCTTTGCCTGCTACCTGGCTGTTGTGGCAGGGCCTACTGAGGGAGGCTCTTGTACTTTTATGTGTGCTTTAGAATGGCATTAAGCGTCTCCAGTGCTGTTTTCAATAGGGCTGCTCATTTATTTGCTTTTAACAAATATTTATTGTATGTGTTCTAGCTGTATCTGCTTTAATTAATGTGGTGTGCCGCCTTGGGTCCTGCACTGGGAGAAGAGGCAGGATATAAATAAAATAAGATACAGGACAAAAGAGCTTGTGAAAACAGACTGAAGAGCAAATTGTTGTAGCTCGGTGGTGGAGGATTTGCTTGGCCTGTAGAATGTTCCAGGTGCAATTCCTGGCAGGTGAGGCTGGGAATGTCCCTTCTCTGAAATCCTGGATAACTACTACCAGCCGTAGACTACGTTAGGCTAGATGGGTCCATGGTTGCACTTTGTATAAGGCAGCTTCCTATGTTCCTACCTTTTTTTGGGGGGGGGGTGTCATCTTTCTAATGCAATGCTTATCTGCTCCATCAAAAACAATCCTTTCGTATCCAAAGAGGTTCTCTTCCTCTACTCCTTTCACTGGAACAGCAACACTTTGTATCCAAGCTGTAATATGGAAAATATATGCATGAGGTGGAGATTTTTGAATACATCTTGGTTCATAACAATACAGGGATCAGGAAGGAATCTGTTGATTTTACTCAGTTTAGTAATCCGGAGGAGTATTTTCATACCTGAGCCTTAAATAGGTGTTTGCGTTTCCCACTGCTGTAGTGGAAATCTGCCGGCTTTGCTGGCTTGAGTGAATTTTTTATTTTAAGTGGTTCCGGCTTCTGCTTTCTATCCTGCCGTAGCGACACTCACACATGCACACAGATAGATTCACAGAGCTCATACTTGCTTAAAGGTAAAGGGGTAAAGGGACCCCTGACCATTAGGTTCAGTCGTGGCCGACTCTGGGGTTGCGGCGCTCATCTCGCTTTACTGGCTGAGGGAGCCGGCGTACAGCTTCCGGGTCATGTGGCCAGCATGACTAAGCTGCTTCTGGCGAACCAGAACAGTGCACGGAAACGCCTTTTACCTTCCCGCCGGAGTGGTACCTATTTATCTACTTGCACTTTGACGTGCTTTCGAACTGCTAGGTTGGCAGGAGCAGGGACTGAGCAACAGGAGCTCACCCTGTCGCGGAGATTCGAACTGCTGACCTTCTGATCAGCAAGTCCTAGGCTCTGTGGTTTAACCCACAGCACCACCCACGTCCCCATACTTGCTTAGGCCACACCAATTTATTGCATTGCTGTACACTGGTAACTTGGTTTACGAACTTAATCCGTTCCGGAAGTCCGTTCTTAAACCAAAGCATTCTTAAACCAAAGCTTGCTTTCCCATAGCAGCGGGGGACTCAATTTACAAATGGAACACACTCAACAGGAAGAACATGTTCTCCTTCCAAGGCAAAGTTCACAAACCAAAACACCTACTTCCAGGTTTGCAGCGTTCTTAATCCAAGTTGTTCATAAACTAAGCTGTTCTTAAACCAAGGTACCACTGTACAATCCTATGCAATGCATTCGGTTCAATGAGACTTCGCTACAGGTACAGGATTGCAGCCTCAACATATAAACATTGCACGGGCAATGAAGTAAGACAGCTTTAACTGTTTCCAGCACACACTTCGAAAGAGCCGGTTTCAAAACAAAAGACACTTGCTCCCCTTCTGACAGCAACAGAGCAGCTGCCATCAAGGATTGGCTGCATCTATGCTACAGTGATTTAGATGTGAGAATATCTGAGCAAAACGTGTATTTTTAAAAGTCCCTTTGAAGAGAAATACTGGGTAAGGCAACAAGAAACTTCAGCAGATGTCTGTGGAAAGTATGAATCATGAATCTC